GATATTGCAACAATTACAAAAGTGACACCTCTTCGTTTTGCACGTGGCACGTGCATAAGGGGTCACCCACATGCATCGAGAATAGTCCAATACTTGGTAGAAGGAATGAAGCTACCCTACAAAAATTACCGCGTGTAAATCGGTCAAGTGGTTGCTGAGATATAAGCCTCGCAAAAGCGTGACCACGGCCGGCCGGCCGCTCATACTTAGAAATTTCCGTTAATCTAAGGAAAGACTACGCTCGCTTCGCTCGCTCCGTAATTACCTTATATTTTACATTAACACGTAACACGCTAGTAACACGTCGTTTCCATGTGTTTCAGTGGTGCCCTCACTGCTAGGAGTAGTGCTCTTCCCCCTGGGACTGGGCTGCTCGTTCGTGAGGACAGAGTGCGGGCCCGAGTCCACCGTGTACAGCTCGGGACACTGTGAGGTGGCCTGGGGCCTGGTGCTCTTCATCTTCACACTACTGGTCAGCGTCTACTGCCCCATCCTGGCGCGCTTCACCGTCGTCAAGGAGTACATGCCAGAGTACTATTCCAACTTGAACTATTTGTAGTGCCGGCTCTGAGTCGTGTTTCCGTGATAACGCTCATATGACACGGAGATGCCCGATGGATTATCGGTGATAAATCTATTCGTGTTTCTACGCACCGATGTGTCCGTGTTTGTGAGTAGGTGTCGTATGCCTGGGGCGCTATGTGTGTGTGTCAGGGCTACGCCAACCTTGCGTGTGAGCTGTAGAAAATGTGTGGGAGCCGGTGGTAAGTGTGCCGCCGGGTGCGGGCCGTGCGTGCTGTGCGTGCGATTCACAGCGCGGCCGTAATCCTATTGGTCGGGACGTAAATCGACGCGGAGCCGGCGCCGGTTCTGTCGAGAGCCGGCACCGACGGACGCGGAATTAATTCGGCCGAATTCTCCGCCCGCGCCGTGAGAAATGGTTCGGCCGGACGTCGACGCGCCGAGGAATCTGCATCGTTAATCGCCGGCGCGGCACCGGCCGAGTTTTTCTTCTGGTCGGTGTCGACGGATCAAGTGGCAGAGAGCGATCGGAGGCCGGCCACAAGGCAAAGGTGCCACCGCGGGGTGTTGTGAAACTGGACGAGATTCGGTGGCTTGAGGGATGTAAAATATGCAACGGGAGGAGCTAACGTGCACTGTTCAATCCACGCACTGATAATTGCTCTTCAAACTGTTGTGATAAGCTCCGCACGGAGTGCTTCATGTCGTATTTTGATAAACTGCTGACGAATACTCAGTACAACAGTGCAGTCGCAGACATCTTGTCTACCATCAGCCTCGCATCTCTACGTCTCGTCTTTTACTCTCAGCTTCGATTCTCAGATATGGAGGCATATGGCGCCTATAAATATTCTGACGGCCGGCAATTTGCAATGAGTATGCTATCTGGTGTGCAATATTTGTGCAATTGGTGTCATGCGTATTGCATAATTCATGACGGCTGATCTGGACGGCGCCGCCGACGGGCCCGTCCTGGTCCGCAGCTCGGCAGACGGATGTTCTCAGCTCAGATTGTGTGGAATCGGCGGGATGCACGGTGCTGGACTTCGCTATGCAACGAAATGGCCTCGATGCCTGCGTCGTTTTAGATGTTTTGTTTTACGCAACGTACATGTGCTCATATCTGGTCTAGACTAAGTCGGTCGGCCATCTTCTCATTCCTTAAAAGAAAAAAAAAATGTTAAACGCATACGACTGTGCGAAAATCTATAATGCCTCAATCATTTCGTTTCATTTAGTGATTACAATTGTCTTTATAGATGTCCAATGAGCGTATTCGAATAAAATTATTTGAAAACAAATAGCTAATTGTCATTTATGGCGCCGGAATTTCAAACTTCTAGTCGCTAGACGCTAGCTCTTTTATTCCAGTGACCCGGTTAAGTTTCATTTTGGCACGACGATGGAGAGAGCCTTGCCCGAGCCTGGTCTGTGTGTATGTAAAGCACGTGGCGTGTGCTATGTGACGTTGGGGCACGGTCTGTATGCTTACCCTGCAGGGTCAAAAACACAACTGTGTCTCGAACGGACATAATGCATCTTTGTACCAAATACATATTGTTGTCATCATATTGCCTGTTTATGGGATGGCGTCACCAGCAGCATAGGGCGCACAGCCGAAGGTAAAAGGCTGAATGAGCGCTGTCCACGTGCTGTATTTGACCATCTATCGGGCTCTTTGTGCGCACACTCCAGTCGCCGTCTGCCGTGAGCCGCCGGCTAACAAATGACCGCTGTCAGACCATCGAGCCGTTCAACTCCACGCCGTCAGAGGTGACGAACGCGCGTGCCGAGCGCAGCCGTCTTCTCCGCGCGCACGGGCGCCGGACGTGTGGTCAGGCACTGACCGCGTCCCCTGGTAGGGAAGATCGGGGTTCGAGAGCCGACAGTCGACTGCCGCCGGGCAGTGGTCGCCGGTCGGTCCAGTCCACTGACCGGCGGCGGCTCTGAACAGTCGCTGATTGGACGTGAGCTGGGGATCAGATAGCGGGGACTCGGAATCACTCCTCGACTCGCGTCCCCTCGTCTCTCCGCGTCTGATCTCTCCCCGCGGAGACGACATCTGGCGCTCCCACCTCGGCGCGTGACTCAGACGGCGCCGACCGGCACCCCTGCGTGACGTCACCGACCATCCATCACGGCCACTTCTGCTGATCAGCCGGTGACGTCAGCGGCAATAACCGGCAGATTACGTCACACCTCCCCACCGTTTAATTATGCACCCCGTCCGCGAACCGCCGGCCGGCCAATCTTGGGTCGGAGTCGCTGGCCGCCGCTCTCAATCATCGCCGACCCCTCGGCGGCGCGGCGCGCGGCGTCACTTCCATTTGCCCCCGGGGCACAGCGCACAGAGAATCCCACAAAGGTCTGTCCGGGGACACTGATTGAATCACCTGAGAGCTCGGTCACGCGACGTCTGATTGTCGGCTGGTTAGCGCTTCCCACGGGGCTGCGGCGGCGGCGAGACGCGCGCCTGGTCAGTGGGGTCAGCCACAATGGGATTAGCCGCGCCCGGCCGGCGCGCGCCCCCGCCCGGCGCCTGTTGTCAGGACTCGATCGATGCGCCCTTCTAAAGAGCTAAATTCGGTCGTCCCATTCAGGACGAATCACGAGCACGGTGCCCTTTGAGCTCTGGCAGGCCAGTGACCAGCGAGCCTCTCTTCTTGCCCAGGATTCCGAGTCGGGCGGACAGCTGAAATTCACAGACGATTGTCATTTGACCAGTCATGGATTTCGCACGGCGACAGTTAAAATCAGACTGCAGAACGGCAGTCAGCAATCACAACCGGGACCGAGCAATCTTTTTATTTCTGACAGTCTTTGGCCGTCCAAATGTCTTTATGGAGGCCGTCCAATAAATTCCCGGCTGCATAGCGGATTGGAAATTGTTCGTTCCGCTGCGACCAAATGCAGACGTTACCATGCGGCACCTATATCATCAGGATTTATCGACATCGCTGGCCAAATCATGGCCTGAGCTATTGCACATTCCCCGATAATGCGACACGCTTTTCTACATTATCATGTATAGCTGTCACTACGCTACGAGTATGTCATTGACAATCCGAGGTGATTTACAGCGCCAACTTCGCTTTAGTCTCGATCCGACACTCCCGAAATTGGGCAGCGTGGACAGAGAGCTATAGTTCAGCCGCGGATCTCGTCCTCTGCTGTTTTGACCTCAATAAAGCGCATAAGAATAACTGAAATTTAATTATTTTTCAATTCAACGTGAATTGCTACATCGTGATGGTTTGTCTTGTGATTTATTTAGTGTTACATTTTATTTGGGCATGTCTCGCAAGAATGTTCTCCAACCCAAAGAGGTTTTTCTCTGGTCTGACAGACACATCCGCTAGATCAAACAATATTCCTTATTTACATACGACCCTCCGTCCTCTCCCTCGTGCGTCCCGCTGCCTCAGCCGCTAAGAGCAGCTCATCTAACGCCGTCTTCTCTGGCTGTCGGCGCGTGGCCTGCCTCCTTCCCGGCCATCGGAAGACGCCCTGCAACGGAAGACTTCCGGCCCGCCTAATGAGTCGGGCCCGGTAAATGGCCTGCTGGAGCGACGCACCGCGGCGGTGGCGGCGTTACTTAGCCGGCCCATATGCGGCTCCCCGCGGCCCCGGCCCGGGCGGGCCGACCGCCAACCGCGCCCGCTGCTGCACGGGTCGTGTGTATCAATTGGAGCCTGATAGCGACAGAGAGCGTGATGGATGGCGTGTCACTCAGGACAAGCCGGTGGCATGGCAGCGCGCTGCTCGCTAAAGACAGGTCGCCAATGCTGAGAGGTGGACACGATACGGACATGTACTAATTGTGCGAGATAGAGCTTCGGGGTATTACCGTTATCGGAATCGTAACTTGATTGTTCGATTGAGTATAGTATGATCGTGTTAGCTTTTCTCATGGTGTATAAAATCATTAATGCTTTTTATTTAAACATCAAAGATTTTTAAAGTCATGAGCGATCACATTGTGTCACTAATAAGTGATAAGAAACACACATACTGTTTTATGTTTTCCTAGATCCATCAAAGCCTACCAATCGCCCTCACCGTTGCTATTGTCGACATGACAGGCCGTCAATCCGCTCTCCCGTGAGGGCGGCGGTCAGGAGTGTGGGCCGCCACCTCGGGGGTATTGTCTGCTGTCTGTGTGTGTAAATCCCGGCAGACAAAGTCCAGCAAAGCGGCAAAGCCTGCCGGTAATGGCCAGGCCGTGTCTGGGGAGGAGGCTGAGCGGGACACCCCACGGCTGAACGCGCCGTCTGCCGTCCATAGAGGAACACGGTCTGCCGGGGACGGCACGGGAGCTGAGGGGAGGGACCAGCGCGTGTGGCTCACAGGGCGCATGATGAGAACTGCGAAGGCACTGGACAGCTGTAGGCATAAGTAAAAGTGAGGAAAGTCGGATTAAAAAATTCGAGACTCTGTTACTTGAGGCTCCAAAAATGATCCTGGTCGAGATAAAACAATACAAAATGTTATCATTTATTCATCGTCAACGGATCCTTTGTCCAAATCGAATAAGAAAATGATGTTAACACAAATAAGTGTGGAGCGCAAACAAAACGATTGAAAATGACAACAGTAGTGAGATAATAACTGAGGATAATAGCTGAATAACTGAGGTAACCAAAGAGATTTTACACGACCCTTTATCACATAATGGATATCACCGGATTCAAGCACTTATAAATCACAGAACGGTGATTACAGGCACAATACACTAAGGACGTACGCGCCTTCGTGTCGGTTCGATCATTTCGCCGTTTCGCTGATTTTACTGGTGACCTTTGAGACGGCCTGTTTGAGCGAGCGGACGCTCTTCCGGGAGGCGGCACTGCGCGTGGAGAGGGCGCTCGATTTGCGCGTGGCTGAAGTCCGGGAGGTCACCGAGCCGCGGGAGCGCGCGGTCAGGTCGCCGCCGGAGGTGCGCGATCGGTCGCCGCGCGGGCTCACCTCAGTGGAGCGCGCTCCCTCGGCGCGCACAAACGACGAGTAGGGCCGCGGCAGAACGTAGTTGGGCTCGTCCAGGTGTTTGTTGTGCTTCAGCTGGCGGCTGATCTCGTACTCGAGCCGCTCGCCCAGCTGGCACATGCGCACGTCCAACGTGAGCAGGACACTGTTCTCCAGCAGGCCGGCCAGCAGCGCCTCGCCGCCCTCCTCGCCCAGCTGGTTGTTGGTCAGGTTCAGCGACTGCAGGCTGGTGTTGAGGGTGAACATCTCGCCCAGCGCGCGGCACGTCTCCGGACCCAACAGGCACATGGACATGGTGACCGTCTGCAGGACGGTGTTCTGACACAGCGCCCGGCAGAGCACCACGCCGCCACCGTCAGACAGCTTGTTCATGCTGATGTTGAACGTCTTCAGCGTCTGGTGGCTGGATATGCTGTGTGCTAGACATTCGGCGCCCTCGGGACCGATTTTGTTATTCATAATGTCAAAGGTTTCAAGCGCCGGTAATGATTTAATTAGTTTTGATATGGCCTTTGCACCTAAGTTTTCAATTTTGTTGTGAGAAAGATCCAGAATTTTCAAGTTTTGATGGCCCTCTAGAGCGAAAAGGAGAGTCAGTGCCCTTGGATCATCAACAAGTGATCGACGAAGGCGAAAAATGGTCAGCTGCGGTTTATCCTTCAAAGCCTTTCCCAGGTCTTCACAGTCCTTCTCTGTAATTTGGAACAGATTCCAGGCAAAGTTGTGACCACATTCCTTCGCACTGTAGGAAAGGTCAAGTTCCGTAACATTGGTCAAAACGGATAGCACCGAAGTGAATTGCAAACACTGACAATCTTCAGGTGGCATTAATGGATTTTCAGAGTCTTCCTCATCCTCATCGGCATTGTGATAGTACAAGTGAACCGGATTCACTTTGTTCTTCTGCCAGAGCTGCTCTATTTTTAGTAACTTCACAAACGGCTGACAGATCTTCAGCTGCTCCATGAGCTCATCCAGGTCATCGGTACTGGGATGAAATCGTTGAATGCATTTTTGCACATGCCGTTCGATGAATGCCCGGCGCCAACTATTCTCATACTTCTTTATGTCGATTACTTCTCCAGCAGCCTTACAACAACGCATCCAATACGCTTCTTCCGGTATGTATTTCGCTTGAACGGCAAGGGGGAGAGTGGTCGGCAACATTTCCAGAACCACTTCACGGTCTTTATCATTCAGTTCATCAATGATCGGATTTTCGGCAAAGTTATTTGCAAGTACTTGCAAACATTTCATCCGAAGGGTCGGTATCAAATTTTTGTCCCATTTTTCATCTTCAGAACGCATGCATCGTTCAAGAAGTATTTGCTTTTTCTTAGAGTTAGGAGGAAACAAACCTTGGCTCGCCATGGCTTCACAACTTCCTGTAATCAATGGAAGCACTTAATCCACTTGTATGGCGTAAACTTAATTTGTGCTGCACTTAAAAACTAGTTTTCTGCACCCATGAATGCATACACAAAGACTGCTCACGTAGAAATGGACATGGAAACCAAGAAAAGCAAGCCCGGTGGCGTTTTGTTGCCATGGCAACGGCAGCGGGCGCACCGATGCTCGGCGAATTGATCAAACAGCGGCATCCAGCGGCATCTACCTAATTACGAAATATCTAGACGGGCATGTCCGCCGGCACCTCTTTGCATCTGAATGCCGAATGGGGATAAAAACCCCTTCCTTTATTTCCAGGCATAGGTCAGAGCTGTATAAGTGCCTACTTGCGGTTTGCAAAAAGTTGATTGTTGCTCATTGAAACTGCATTGCAGCGAGAGTCAATTGCCAATCACTTAATAAAAAGATGATAAATGACATGATCTCCCCTACAAAAGAATACATCCTACATCATTCCCATAACGAGATGTTCTCATCGCTCTTGGACATGGCTGCTTGTTATTGCTCATATGGAATTGGTATAGGTAGGTAAACGATTGTAAAGAAGATTGATATACATGTCCCTTACGCTTGCTGTTCGCAATAGCCCGACTCACTGTTTGAGATTCTTGGCCTTTGCTCACTCTTCAGCTTTGGTAGAAATTAGATATGAGGAGCGACTGAATTATTGCGCCTTATCGTGTTAAAGCCATCACAGCTCTGGTTAGTGGGATGATATACGCTTGGGTAATTTATGCTCCTCAAGCCACTTTAAATCGTTTGAAGACACTTCGTTCAAAACACTTGCTGTAAGTGCCTGTCCAGCATAGTTGCATTAAACGCCGCGCCTTTGATGTGATAGTAGAAAACACTGTTGAATATCACAAGCTTGTAAACAAGCTCGTTAGGATTTTGATCAAATTATGAATGACATTAACTCAAAGATATTCATTGCGGCATAACATCATTAGCTTGTTCTCTTGGCTAGGTAGAGTAGGTACCCTATAGGTATAGTTGCCGAATGCGACTAGTGACTACAGATAAATGTTCGAACGTAAATGTGTGAGAATATTATAATGCATTAAAATAATATCTAACATTTTTTGTACTGCAATTCAATCGAGCTTACAGACATAAAACAGCAGGTTTCTGATTTACATAATGTAAATCAGAAACAGAAAATTACAACATTACGTTTCTTATTTTTATTTTCCGCAGCTTGGTCAACTTTATTCGTTGAATAGAGTATCTTATGAAAAACGCGTTTATGGTGGCGGCTGTGGCCTGTGGGCAAATTTTGTTATATTGTTTGTGTTAACTTCTTTCGTCAAATCAAACCTCCACTTAACCTTCCAGGTGGTGAGGGGGGCATTTTTTGCCTCCCCTTTAGTTTTTTTCGATATGTATCTCCAGAACCGCTGCGCCGATCGTCACCAAACTTTCAGTATGAATAATAGCTTTTGAATAGCTTTTGCACATTGTGACCAAAAATGTTTCCAAAAGCTATGATAGGTTGGCTGCTAATGACGTCGGAGTGACGTCATTTCTGCCATTTTCGACCCAAAAAAAGGTTTCGCGGGAAGAGCTCTGTCAGGCTTTCCGTATAGCTTTAGAGATACAGAAAAATGTTTTCGCTGTAAAAGGTGTACAATTAACCTTCGCCCCAGTGGGGGGGGGGGCATATGTTACCACCCTGTCGCGTTGTTTGCGTGTGAATAAAAAACCGCGGCGCGTATCGCCGCGCCGCTTGGGGTAGCTTTTGGTACATCAATTTTGGACAATGTGTGAAATTTTTGACCCCAGGTCATGTCAGGTCAGGTCACCAGGTCAAGTTAACTGACCAAGCCTAAAAAAAAGTTTGCAATCATGTCCAGCCTGCAGTGTTTGTCAGAAAGGTTTTAAACTTGTAGGATTGGATGCTGTTATGGGCGCCTACAATTTGTATATCTCGGATTTTTTATATCCGTGACCTAAGGTCAGGTCAGTGGCGTGACCTTACCATTACAAGTCAATGGAGAAAAATGAAAATGCCTCTAGATCCGTGTGTACGCATCGGAACAGTCCAAATATTTCAGACTCACAATGATTTAGTCCACTCGTGATGACCAAGGTGTCATTTTTGCTGATAGCCTCTAGACAGGTCATCCGAGGTCACTTGAGGCTACAAACAGTTTTTTGCCAATAACTCGCGATTGGAACGAGATAGAACGCTGGGGATGGTCTCATTGTGTTTGTCTTGTTGAGTCGCATCGACTGATATGTAACATGACCTTTTCCGGTCAGGTCATGACCTTGACCTGAGGTCAAATTTTCAAGTTGACCTTTCAAGGTCAAATTATAGTTCATTCGACGCGTCTCGGCGAGAGGAACACGATTCTGGCAATAGAAATGTCGTGGCCTTTTGTAGTCCAAAGTTATTGTCGAAAAACACTTTTCGTAAAAACAGCTATTTTTGGAGTTTTTGCCCTCTGGAGGCTAAACCGTTGACCTGAGGTCAATATTGATTATGACCTTTTCAAAAGAAGAGTTCACAAGCTATCGTTTGCTGTTCCATGCGTTTTTCTAGCTACCATAGTTCCTGAGATAGCGGCATGTTTTCTGAAAAATATAATGACAATTGGCAAATTTTCACCTTTGATGACCTCTGGTGACCCCAATATTGCTCTAAGGTGAAAAATGACCGAAATACTTTCAAACGTACGCATTGAGAGCTATCGACTGCTTTTTACCGCGTCTTTCTAGCCCTCTTAGTTTTTGAGTTAGAGGTGGGTGGTAACATATGCCCCCCCTCACTAGGGCGAAGTTGGCTGAGACCGCCACTGGGGCGCGGGTTAACAGGGCTATAAAACTGCTATCACGGTTTTTTGAAATTTTTGGATTTTAACACCCAAAAATAAAAATAAAAGATTTTTTGAATATAACAGCCGACAAATCCAAAAACTTCTTTGAATTTCGAAAAAACGGAATACATATGAAGTCCCTACCACCTTCTATTCACCTACCAAATTTGAGATCGATACCTCTTTTTAGCCAAGTTTTAGCGAAAAAAAAAACTGTTCAAACTTGATGACGTCAAATTTTCAAACTCAATTGTTAGCAATTCTAGACCTTGTAGCGAAAAACTAAGACCACCATTAGACTGCCTGTGACGAGCTGCATCGAATCAATACCCATTTTATGCAAAACTATCAACTTTGAAATTTCACCTTTTTGACCTCACCTTGACCTGACCTTTTTTTTTTAGAAATTTTGTCCGAATGGATGAATGGGTGGCTATGGGCCCGGGTGCCCCGCTAAGCAGAGCTTGTTGCGAATGACACCACGGACCCACCACCCCACCTTGCCCGCGCCCGGTTCACCGGTGATAATTTGGATCGAAAGTTTAACGTGCCGCAGGTAGATGGCGGCACGGTCCTCCCGGGTCTAGTGTGGCCCTCTCTCGCCAGTTGCCAGCTGGCTTAATATAGGAACGCGGGTCAAACGACGTGGAGCTTCCCGGCCGCGAACTCGCTGCCACCGAGTTAGGAGACGGACGCCTTATCCACTAGGCCACGGGGAGGACCTCCACCAGAAAGTGACCTAAACCGTACCTGATGGTCTTATAACCAGCACCATTGAGTTGGAAATGAAAAATTGGCCATAATACATGCATCGCACAACCTTAGTAAAGTTGGGTTCATGTGCTGACCCTTGGTGACCTAACCTGTGACCTTACCTGGTATTATCAGTGACCTCTAATAGCAGCATATGTACTAGGCAGCTGACGCCCTATCACTGATTTTCGACAAAATGCGCTTTACTCGGTGTTATAGCGCATTCCCTAGAAGACCCGTGAACGGTGAAACATTTTATCTTTGACCTGACCTGTGACGTCATCGGTGACCCCGAGGTGAATGAAGTTTGATTTCCTTCAACAAATGTGACAGGGCTATCGAACATTGTTTGAATTTTACGGATTCCTCTAGTAGTTTCGGAGATACAGGGGGGAGGGGAGGGGCGCAAAAAATGCCCCCCCTTCCCACCGCGCGGAAGGTGGCCGAGAGACCCACCGCCTGCCGGGTTAACTTCATCCTCACCTCTTTTTTCCGAACTACCCGAACGTCTTTGGTCGGACTGGAGTTCCAATCCTCTAATGGTGTTGGCCCATTGAGACCTGACAGCCCTGTGTCGCCGCCGACACCGACCGCAGGCCGTTCTGAGCCGTCACCGGGCGGCCCTCGCCACCTCAATCACGCCGAGGGCGAGTGAGCGTCTCCAATCAGCCAGCGACCCGTGCGCGGTGGGCTATCTCCACAGCTGAGCGGTCACTGTGGTCGACGGATGGACTCAGCGGGTCCGCCGGGAGAGGCAGCCCCCTCCCCGCCGGCGGGGGTGGGGCTGGGCTGGTCAGTGGGACACAGCCCCACCCCCGCCGGGGGTGGGGCTGGTCCCCGTCGCGCCCTACAGGCCGCCCGGGGACCTTCTCCGCGCCTCTGGAGCGGCTCGGCCCGGTCGATGGACCGTGACGGGCCGGATGGCCGTCAGTCCGCCTTCAGAGCGGGCGGATACTGCCCGCTGCTGAGTCGCCGAGCACCGGAGGAACTGCTGGATGCTGAGCTGGGAAGATGCTGCTGCTGGGGGGGGGGGGGGGGCATTCGGTGCTTGGTGGACTTATCTCTTCAGGTTTCCCTGAATAGCTGCGGAAAGGAGAACTCTGTGCTGTTATGCCTGTCCAGCAGACTTTAGGATGGTATGCTGTTCCGCACAGCACAGCTGTACTGCGGCACAGTCTACCTACTGCAGTATGCTTGGTAGTATTGCGGTGCAGCCTACCTGGATGCGATTTGTTCGCTGGTTCAGCAGCACAATCCGATCCGCGGCTTTAATCGCAATATCCTAAACGAACTTGACGTCTGCTTTAGTTTATTATTTTAGCACTGACGATGGAGAGTAAAGTCACTGCAGATTTAGCGATCGGACCAGTCCTTTCTGGCAGAGTTGGGTTCGGTTATTACACTGCTGGGCGCCGTCTGTCTGTTTGGTGGTCGCCGGCCGGCTGAGCAGTAACTGTCGTTATCAGGCCACTCAACCCGGCTGTTTCAGGAGGCTATGACCATTGACCGGACCGGTGCTATAGCCCGGCCAACAG